GTATGAAAGCTACTCCTGTAAAAACCCATGGAATATTCCACATTTTGTTAGAGATGGTTCTGCAATGTTGGGAGTGCCTTTTAGGGTTCTGTGCTCTCTTGGGAGAAAAAGGAGGTAGAAATCCAGGATGATGCAGAAATAAGAAAAAGGGGGAAGAGAAAGCAGATGGTGAGGTGGAGAGCTTTCCTTAACTGAGTACTGCACACTGAGGATGTGAATTCAATTGCCTGTTGCTATTTATCATGACCACATAAAATTCAAAGTACTTGAGTATTTAAATAGTGATAGATTCAGAGATGAGTCATGAAGCAGAGCTGATATTTTATCCCTGGACATGTTGGTGAATGGTTTTCTAGTTCAAGGATCTTATTTCCACTTTCCCTATTTTAATGGCATTGCTGTTCTCTGATTATTTTGTTGTGGAGAAAAGGGAAAAAATTAATGCTTATGAGGCTGTCGGTTATTACAGACTTAATCATTTTCTTTTAAAAACCACATTGCTACACAGTATTGCAGAGATATTCCAAGTTCTCACTCTTAAGTGATAATTAAGAGAGAGTTACCTTCTGACTCTGCTTCTGCAGGACACTTTGAAGGGAATTTTGCTGCTCTTGGTAAGCAGGTCTTTGAGTCAAGTCTCATTTTGCACATCTTTTTTTGCCAGGAGACAATGTGTCATTTGTGTGATAGTCACTGAAGGCATCCTGCACAAGGGAGGGAATATTTGGGAGTGCAGGAAAGTGATATACACTTAAAAAGAAAAAAAAAAAAAAAAAGAAAGAAAAAAAAAAGAGAATCCTGCAAAGTTCAGTTCTGCATGTAGAAGTGGATCTGATTTTCAATTTTTCAAATTTAATTCTCTTTGTGTTTCTGGGTATGGCAAGCTAGAATAGGCTGAAATTTGCACCATAAATAGGATCATTCACATGAAATGTATTTTGATACAAAACATTCTCTCTTGCCCAGAAGACAGGCAGCCCCTCCAGCCCTGAAATCATCTGTCCTGGTGCAGCGGTGGTTTTAGAAGAGTCAAGTTTGAGAGCAGACAGATCCTTGTCCCAAGGAAAGTGTTGCTGATGTTGGAGCCAGGGACCCCGAACAGAGGCTGCTTTTGGAAGAGGCATGTTGAGGGTTGTTAATGCTGGAGAGGGAACTGACTCATCACATCATCAATTCTGCTCCTCTGCCAGCGCAGCACAAAACATCTTTTATCATCACACTCCCTCTTTCTTCTTCATTTCTATTTTAAAGGAGTTTAAAGCTGTTCAGTCTCTTGCCTTCCTCTTCTCCAGCCTGTTGCTGTTCTCTGGCTGGTGGTTACAGTTTGGGGTGATGGAGCCCCTTTGCCCTGTGCAGGAGGACTCTCCCCATCCAGGCATTCTCAAGGACTAGCCAAAGGATGGATTTCCTGGCTAAAGCTCTCACTCCTCGTGCTGAGTCCCACATACCCCTTAGATGTAAGGAAACTAAGCTTTCCCATCTGAGTCCTTTTTCTTTGCCTTAATCCCTGCTCCCTCTGTTGCAGAAAGCTCTGTTTATCTGAGCAGGGACAGCAGGAACACTCTGGCCACGTAATTGCCACGAAGGCTGCAGCGGGTCCAGCCGGTACCAGTTTGAAATGATATTTTTCGGGCCCGTGCCAACAACAGGCGGCTGCTGGGAGAGCTGAAATTGCTGCTTTTCTGCTCACATCTGCCTTTGATTTTCAATCAGAGCTGGTTGGTGAAAAGCCAACTAATCTACAGTGCTTAGGGGTTTTTTTTGTTTGTTTTTAAGGGGCTGGTTTGAGCCAACTTTAGTACCACAGAATTAGTTTTTAATAGATTTTTTTTTTTTGCCCCAAATTATAAGTACTTTTGCATATAGAGTATTTGAAATAGATCTTATGGGAAAATTATTAATCACTATTATTTCTTTGTATTAGTTCCTTGTGTATGACTTAAGGAGGGCTGAGACCTTCCCATACCAGGAGCACACAGAGCACAGCAAAATGGCAAATCCAAAGGGCTCTCATGGAACCAGAGATGCAGGGAGATGGTGCCTCCCCTTCGTGCTCCAGAGCCAGGGAACCTGAAAGGTTTGACTTTTCTGAGAATTTGAAGAGGAATTTCCACAGGTTTCTGTGGAAACTTCTGGCATTTTGTTTGGGCTGGTGTCACATCCTCTTCCATTTGCTGCTCTTGTGGCAGATGAGGAATTGGCTTTGTACTGAAGATACATGAAAAGTCACTGCTTAATCAGGAACTTCAAAGGAACTGGAAAATTATCCATCTGTGATTCAACCATCTTAAGCTTTAGGGGACAAGTCTGGTACCAGAAAAAAAAGAGGAAAAGGTCTTGGATTACAGAGTTTTCACTCTTTTATGGCAGTTTTTCTGTGAATTACAGTAACAGAAAGTACTGACCTGTAACTAACACAGTTTATTGCTTGATGGCCTTTATTTATCCAAGGCTTCATTTGATATGTAGCCCACTTTGAAAACAATTTTTAAATTTGGGCATAGAGTTACTGTTGCAAAATGCTGAACTAATAACCCTCTGAACCAACAGCTTCCTCTTAATGTGGGGAACACTGGCTGGGTGAGGACGAGAGCACATTAATCACACTGACAAAGAAACAACATAAAAGGTAAAACCAACTAATAGAACACAACAGTTGCGCTGTGAATCATAAAGAGTCACACCTTGGTGCTTTGTACCTGTATTTTAATGTGTGCTAGTGCAAAACCAGTGTGAAAATCCACCTTGGTCAGCCTGGGTGTGTATTGTAACTGGTGATTTTTTTACTAAAGGCGTAAGTTTTAGTGATGAAAATCCATGACCCCCATCCTTCCTCTACCAGCATGGATGCAATAGTTTGGCCTGTTAGAGAGTGAGTTTAAATAGTTGAAAATAACAACTGAGTGTTTGTAGAGCAAAGTCCAACCTCCAGGAGCCCCTGATTCCTTCTGCTCTATGGCACAAGCTTGAAAGACCCCTTAATAATGGAAAGCCCAGTGCTAAAATCTATCATTCCTTTCTGGTTTGTTGTCTTTTAGCCATCAGAGATTGTAACTGCAGGGACAGGCTCTTCTCTGCCTTATGTGGAAAGCAGAACACAGAGATTTTAAACCTTTACATGTTTCAGTCTTTGTGGGACATTTTTAGGGAGCTGGGATTTCTTGGCCTGTCTTCTGTGTTGCATGTGGTGGTACCTCTGTGGTGCTTAAAAACCTTGACCTTGATATGGTTTGTGCTTATGTCCAGTGTATTCACCTGCATTTCTGACCCAGGCACCAATATAATCAGAGTAATTTTAGGCTTTTAAGGGTTTTAATTGAAATTTCTTTCCTTCCTCCATGCTTGGCCTTCAGCAAATGGGTTTCTTTTTTTTTTTTTTTTTTTTTTTTAATTCTTTTTTTAAGGAAGGAAGGAAAAGTCTTGAACTTGTGTTGGGCTGATTTTGTTTGAACAGAGCCCTGTGTGTTACCCCCCAGCACACAATGGGGCTCTGTCCAGGGAGAGTTGGCTGAGTGGGTCCTTATTCAGGGTCATTCATCACCACAGCTCGTGCAGACATGGCAGATTTACATCAGTGAGGCTGAGGAGGGAAAACAACAGGCCCATGATCTCCAGGAAGGGCTGGAGTTATTTATGAAGTGCCAGCAACGTGCTGAGGACCAGATGAAGATCTGACCAGCCTGGCTCTGCAGGGGTGCTGGTGGCAGGGTGACATGTCACCCAGTGCTGCAGGGAGAGGGATAATGTGTTTGACATCTCAGGGCTCCTCACAGGCACAGGGCAGGGTGTGTTTTGGACATCTTGGGAAGATGGGACATTGTGGGAAGTCACTCTAATGGTGAGACTTATTTTTAGACAGTAAAATTATTTGAAGGAAATAATGTTTGTGTTGCACCTGCTTATGTGAAGCCTCAGGAGGCTTCACCTGGTCAGGAAGCCACAGGGGCAGCTTCAGATCCCACTTTGCTCATATTTGTCCAAAATAAATGCCAAAAACATCAGAGGGGATGCAGAGATGGATGGAGAATGTCCTTCTTGGAGTCGAGTCAGCAATTCCTCCTGCATGAGGGGCTCAAATTTAAATGGGGCTTCCCTTGTGTCTTTGTGCTGTGTTTCAGTGAGGGACCAGCAGCAACTCTTAAGTTGTTCCCCAGGAGCCCAAGCCCAGGCCAGGCTCAGTCCAGCTCTGGGAGCATCCTCGGGATGGGCTGGGTGGGAGCAGGATGTGCAGTGTCCACTGCTCATTCACAAATCTTCCGCTTTTCATGGCAATACTCGCTCAGCAGCCAATTGCCAGGTCATGAGGAAACCTTCTCCCACTCCCTGTGTCCTGGTGGTTCTTGTTAGAGGAGAAATTGCATCTCTTGGCACTGCTGGACACGAGAGCTGCTCTGGTTTCCGAGGCGTTGCTTTTCGGTGAGTGTCTCCAGCTGCTGCTCTCCCCTCACCCAGGGCACTGACTCATCTTTCTGCCATCACAATAAGTCTGTTTTCATAAACAAAATTAAGTGTGCTGTGTTTATTCATTAGGGAGATTTGAAGTCTCTCAGCAACCAAGAAATATACTTTGTGGATGAACTCCTCTCCCTCTTCCTCCTCTCCTCTTTTAACAGCTAAGGGGGGAAAAAAGAGATTTGAGAAAACCCAACACTCTTAGTGGGTGGTTCTGTGTCTGTTGATGGGCAGCACCTCCACTGAGGGTTATTGTCTGTCAGCTGGGCTTGTACATCTTGGAGGGGGATATTTATAACTACACAGAGATGAATGGGGAAAAATGGGACAGGTGAATGAGCTGGGCTTTAAACAACACTCCAGGTAAGGACAGTGCAGGGGAGGGGTCACAGGGTAGAGAGAGAAGCTTGTCTGGCACCTGGATGGCTCCGTGCCAGAGGCTTTCTCATGGGCAGTTGTCCCTGTGCCAGAGCCCTGGTGGCACAGCCAGTGCTCTGCTGTTCTCTCTGTTGTGTCATGTCACCCCAGACTCCCTCTCTTTCCCACAGCTGGACCCAGCCCCTGATCCTAAGAGGGATGGAATCCAATTTCCCTCCAGTGCTGACAGGTTTTCAGCTGGATCTGCAGCCACGTGAGAGGCTCCTGCAGCCACACCATGCCAAGACTCCCTGTTTTTGGGTGTCACTCCTCCCTGCTGCCAAGGCTCCTGCAGTTCCTGCCACATGGGATTACTGATGCATCAGTGCCATTGGTAGAGCCAGAGGGGAACAACGAGGGAAGCAGCAAAATGGGATCAGGTACAATGTCAATACACAAAGAGGGTAACCCCAGTCTCTAAACCAGCAAAGTCTGGGTTTGAGCAGTGATTAATAAACCCATGTTATTACTGGGTAGAAAATATACTTTGAATTTCTGCTCATAACAACTACTCGGTGACTTCCTGATTAGTATGCAAATGTTGTACCCATTGAAGTGGAAATAAACCTGGAATTTGCTGTCTTTGCAGCGGGATTTCGGCCATTCTTGAAATCCCACTTTCTACCACATAACATAAATGAAGCAAATACCTTTCACTTCTGCTTTAGAGGGATCCATAAATCAGAAACAAAGGACAGCAGAATAACAGGCTGGTGTTTCTCCTCCTAGAGCAGCAGGAATGCTGCGCCAACAGCAACAATGTCAACGTGACCTGCGGTTTCCATGCCAGATGATTCCATGGAACTTGAGGCTGCTCACCTTCCAGGGAGCCAGCCCTCACCTGCAGCACTCAGTCAGTCTCCCTCAGGGGTCATTCCTCGGTAAGAGGTGCCAGCAGACACCTCAAACTTCGTGAATTTGGGGGAGCAGGGCTGTGGGTGTTGATGTGGGCTCAGACTTTTGATAACTGGTTTTGTGCCTGGTTATCATCGCAGCTGCTGTGCAAACAGCAAACTGGTTAAACACAGAGCTGCTGTGAGTAATAGAGAAGGCCTCATCTCTGACCATCACCCCCTGCCTGCTGTGTGGGACATGGGGGCAGAGATCAGCCCAGAAAACTCCCTGCTTTCTTCGGGGGGAGTTACAGCACAAGGTGAACCAAACTGCACGGAAGCCTGGAAAACCGAGGTTTTCCAGTCAAAAACATTTGGAAAAATGTGTGTGTGTTGGGGTGTAACAGCTTTGCCTGGCAGTGCCTCAGCTGCCCTTGGCTGTCAGAGCAGGGAGGGTCAGAGTGGCTGTGACACCTGCTCGCAGCTCAGCCGTGACCCGGTGCTGTGGGGGAGGCTGCGATGGGAGAGGGTGCAGCACGTGCTGCTGCTGCCATCAGCACCCTGCCTCCCTCTCCCCAAATGCTGCCCACCCTGGGAAGGGTTTTCCATGGCCAGCCCATCTCCTGCTCCCTCTGGGGGTCTCTCAGGTGGGTCCCTGCCCCGGGGCTGCAGTGCAGGATCAGCGCTGAGCTCAGCTCCCTGCAGATGGCACTGATATCCTGTGCTGCAGCAAACCTTCCCTGCATTTTTCCCAGACTTTTTTTCTTGCTAGGGGAAACCAAAAAAAGACACAACCCTCCATGCAGTATAAAGAGCACATTTTCTATAAACTTTGCTTGGCCCCAGCCTGCAGCTGAGAGGGAGCAGTGCTGTTGTGAGGTGAAGTGTTACACTGCCCATTCCCACACCAAAACCTAGAAGACCATAGAATTGCCCAGATTGGAAAAGACCTTGAAGATCAGAGTCCAACTGTTAACATAGCACTGCCAGTTCAAGATACATGGTCACAGCTCAATTACATTTATTCCTTCCATTTATTTCTTATAGTATCAGATCTTTTTAAAGGTAAATGAAGCCAATATGGTTTCTTGTAAGAGCCCTGTATGGAAGCCAGAATGAATCCTGATTTATAGAACTGTTTGAGTTTAGAACTGGGAAAAAGAGTAAATGTAAGGAAAGAAAGGTGCTCCTGACTGAGCTGGTCACTGGAGACTTGAAAGGGAAAGGTCTCTCCCCCCACTTTTCCTTTAGTGAAGCCTAACATGAAAAAGCTTAGAAATTAAACATCAGCTGGGCTTTGATTTCAGTAGTCTGCTCATGCTGATGTAAGCAGGCAGCTGAGGAGGCTTTCATGACACTGCTCGTATTTCAATAAGGTTAAATAAAGGGTCAATGAAAAATATACTCAGGCCAACAAACCTTCAGGTCAAGCCCAGGGTTACAAGGAGTTAAACTGCACTTTCTTACCATGCTGGTTTCTTAGCAGGCACAGCCCAGCCCTTAGAGCAGTTAATAACACCTAGAAATAACTTCTTTAATGGCGTGAAATCCCAGAGTTGTGCATGACTGATGCAGCTGGCTGGGAAGGGCTGCCGTGCTTTCAGCTTGGTTTCTGAGGAAAACAAGGCTGGTATGGTGAACGCTGGCTGCTCCCACAGCCCATCCCCGGCCTGAGAGTCCACTTCATCCAAACTCCCCAGGCAGGGCCGAGCTCTCATGGGCAGTTAGACAGCTAATAGACTGCAAAAGCCCAGAAAAATACATCCTTTTACTGTTTGTGTTTATATCTGAGCAACAGATAATGTTTTTATTTTAGTGCCTGCCCTCCGAGCTCTGGGCTGCCTCTGAGCTCTCCCTCTTGATTTCAGCTGTAATTTCAGTGCTCTGCTGAATAAAGAGGTGCCTTTGTACTGCAGTCACCTCCAATGTCTGGCTTTGGCCCATTTGTGTGCATGCAGCTCCTGCCAGCCTCTCCCACCTCCCCCTTCCCCCGGGTTTTTAGGTAAGTGGTTCCTCACAATCTCAGCAATTTTGCTGTGCCAGCAGTGTTGCCCTTGAGGTCAGCGGGAGCCCAGATCCTCTGCTGTGGCCTTCCCTTCCCTAAATAAAACTAACTCAAGCCCCTCTATAAATGGGTTCACTGAGATGATGAGTTCACAGGAGCAGATGATCCAGGTAAGGTCCAGGGATAGGGAAGATGAGGATGGGGTGGGGTGGGGTGGGAGCTCATCTTCCCTGTGAAGCTCCCTTACAGCAGCCCAGTTGAGCTTGGCCACCTGAGCAAGCCAGTGATGATGTATTTGGAAAAGAATCTGGTACGAAGCTGAAAGGCAGCTTCTTAAATTGCCTAAATTACATTTGTATTCAAAAAAAGAAAAAGAAGTTGTAAATCGCATATTTACACAACGGAGCACGCGAGCGAGAGAGGGCTCATACGAGACCCAGATGTTCATTAGAAACAGGGATTGTTCTTCCTTGCTGCTACCCTGAAAACTGGGAAAAGAGTCAGCTATGTTGAAGGGTTACAAAGGAGGGAGTTAAGTCTACAAAATCCAGGAAATTTCCCGTTAAGACGAAAAACCTGGGGTACTGTTGTAGTCTTTTAATTCGGACCCAAGACGTAAATTAAAGCCAGAGAATCAGGTCAGGTGCTCAGGTTCTCAGCCCTTAGCTGTGGAATTTCCAGGTTAAGTTACTTAAACTTTCCTGTTGCTGAATAAAGCTAAAATCCTGTGTGCCATATATTTGCTCATCATAAAATGTTCTCTCCCAGCCAGTAACAGCTTCTTTGTTGGCAAGGCCTGTCTGGTTTATGAGCTTCCCAGCCTTTGTACAGGGTTCTGGGAGTTAAGAACTTCCACATGCTGCCTGCTCCGAGGCTTTTGTGAATAAGCAAAGCAAAGCACTTGCTCCATGTCCAGCAAACGCATCAAATATGGTTTGAATTCCCCGGTTTTAAATGCAAAGGATAATATTGATTTTGTTAAGGTAAATGTCTTTAATTGCACGCTGGATAAACTCGCCTCTTACTGAGGCATAATGGGCTCTGGGCGCCCTTCCAGCACAGCAGTATAAAAATGTCTCTTTTAGTGTCTCCACTAGAGAAATGCAGGATTAAGATTTAGATGAACAACAATGAAATGGAGTACATCCCCAGTCTCTGAAAAAGCATCTGCTGATGCAGAAGGACATTTACACAGATGGAAATTAATGCTTTATTAAGGTCAAAAGTCTGCAGTACCTGTTATGTGGATTGTTTGGGGCTTTTTATTGGGATGGTGGGAATAGAAAATTAAAAGAAGGGAAAATAGACAAGAAGTGAAAATGAAGATGTTCATAAAATTGTCCCTGTATGACTTGCTCTATCTCATCTACAGAACCTGAGTGGGATCTTGATGTAAAGGGGAACTGAGCAGCTCATTAAAGAAGAAATATTCTGTACTCTGACATCCTTATACACATCCCACTTGTGAGTATTTAGGAGGGTGACAAGGACATGAAGACTATCAAGTGGGTGACTCAGCCCCTTGATATTAGTTTAGCAAAGGCAATAAAGGTAGTTAAGAACAGACCAAACACTCTTGCAGCAGCTGATGCCCTTTCATTTATTGCTAATCTACCATAGTACAGGCAATATATAAAAATATTTTACAGATAGAAAAAAAAATCATTACATTGGAGGTTTAACAATGTTGTTGCAGGAATGTGAATGACAGAAACCCCTTTTCAGTTGTGGAATTTAGGTTTTTGAACAGGCAATTTGATTCAAAAGACATCTGTTACGGTGATTTGAGTGACAAGTGCTCACTCGTGTGTCTATGAACATATGGCTTTACCTGAACATCCAGGGCAGGGCTCCAGAGGGGGTTTGGACTTCGGGGGGGGTTGGGAAATCCCTTCAGAATTACACACACACACACTCAAACACACAGATCTCCGAGTCCCAGTCAGGGCATCACTGTTCACACTGAGCTGTCCCTCCACTCCCTGTTGGTCTCACACCACCTGTGCTTCAGGTGCTGCTCAGCATCACTAAACTGATGGCAGCTCAGTCCTGGAACACCTGAGGATTCCAACAGCACATCTGTGGATTTCTGGGCTATTACAAACGCATAAATCATTAGTAATTTCTGTGACAGTCATTGTAGAACTTTCTACTCCATTTTGCTATTTTATGGGATTTATTGACAAGGAACTCAAACCACCATTCCCCAGATAACCACTCATTTGCAGCTGATATCATCTTTCATAGCATCAGCACCTTCATTTGAAATTTATTGCAATGTGGGTCAGGGGCTAACTTATATTTTTTTTGCACCCCAGAAACAATAAAAATGGCTAAACAAACCTTAAACAGCCCACAGTGGGTTAGACTCTGACAGGCAGTTAAACAAATCGCTATCAGCTGCCACCCACTGCACTTATAAAAGAGCAGATATTAAAGATACAGATGTCAATCTTATGGCAAACATACAAAAAGGTGGATTGTTCATTCTGAACTGAGATGAATAAAGAATTATAACCTTCCACATGTGATAGCAGAGTGTTACCTCACACTTACAGGTAAGAAACCAATGCAATGTAAACAATGAGGAATTTGCAATTCAGCCCATCTAGACCCAACATGAGCATTTCTTCCTATTGCACAGAAATATGAAACATAAATAACAAACACTCAGAATTGCAGATAAACTGGAATGTCAGATGACTTTAAGTGGTGCAAAAATTACGAGGATCTGAATCAGTTTAAGATTTGAAATTAAGACAGTCATTTTCTGGAGTCCCATCTGGCAGATAATTGTTCCCTATTAAGTAGCAATTTGGAAAGAAATGCAGGGGGAAAAGTCAGATTGAAATATTTAGAAACATATTTCTCAAGCATTTAAAGCTCTCTTTGAAGTCTTTGGGAAATCTATCAAATACATGGGTTCTTTTAGGACAGTAACAGTTCAACAACAATTGCATAGAAAATTAAGACATTGAGAAAATGAAAATTGATCCTTTATAAATACTAACCTTAATCCAAAAGGTGTTGCATATTTGGTCAGACAAAAAGCATAGTCACTTTTTTGTAAAGATATGGATTACAAAATATACTTTAAAAACATGCTAGCTACTCTGAGAACTGGTTTAGATACGTTATTAAGCAGCAGCTTTTTATACAATAGAGAATAACATAGTGCTGGTTTGGGAAATATTCTACATTCAGAAAATGCTGTATTCCTACAAGGAGCATGGAAGTGATACATATTTACATGGATACAAATAAAGCAAGTGCAAAAACCATGACTCTTCTACATTCTTTCTACCATAATAACACATACATGAGACACTTTCACTCCATTGTTGTTGCTCAGATCTTACATTCTGCTCATTCTCATGGAGAAAAACAAAAACAGGACTTCATATTTCATCGCAAGTATCTTCACGAGCAATTCCCCTCCTGGCAAACTCGACTTCCAACACTCATAACTGACAAAAAAAAAATAATCTTCCTGATGTCTGTC